GACATACATTAATGTTGTTTCTTGCTTGCTTTACACGTTGGGGGTGGGGGAAATCTCATTTTTTGTAGCATAAATCATTCCATTTGGATCTCCATCTTGTGACATCAGTGGGAGATTCGAAGCATTACAGAGGACATGATTCATTTTCTCCAAACAGAAGACTCACACGTGCAAACACAGTCTGTGTGTGAGCGTACAGTGGCTTTATGGGGGATCTGTTGCGAAGTGGTCACTCTGAGCTTGTTAATTCTTTCACATTTGCTCGTTGTCAGTAACACGTCTCTCTTTCCTCTGTTGCTTCTCTCTGTTTCCTTTTGATACTTTATATATTTAGCACATTTGCCACTAAACGTGCAACCCGAATGAATGCACACGTTAAGTGCATTTAACAGTCGAATACAAAAGGTTGTTCGTGCCCTGTGGAATGAAGTGAAAGGTACTTCCTTCAGACGTGTTTCTCTTGAGAGTAGCTGACTACACAGGTCTTTATTCCGAGGCATGAAGCGGCACAGCATGAACCAGGCATAGATTAGCACCATTATCTGTTCTGTAACGTTCAATAAGCACTAATTAGTCATTCTACAGCAACTTGCTGGTGTTATATTATATAGTTCTATGCCAGTTCATTAGCAAGTCCGCATTTTGTCATGCTTAGTTATTCTCATTCCTTATGGCATTGTACTCATTACTCACATATAACATCATTTGTGTTGCATCCCATTTTTTCCCCCTGCGCCATTATCCAACATGTGGTCCTTGTAGGTGTAGAATCAGTGAAAACTTCAGCCACTTAAAGAGCAGGCAGTGAGAATCAACATAAAAGAGCAGCTACAAAGTGGAAGAAACTGCAACAGCTGCTGACCTCCGACCCTTTGACCTCTTGATTTGCCGCAGAGATCCTCATTAACGAGTGGCTGCTCCTCTGTGCATGTGTTTGCGGGCAGGTGTGTGGAAATCTAAGCTGACAGCTTTGACTGTTGGCTGAGTGGAGTCGTGACAAGGTCAGCGGGTCCCGTCTAACGTTCCACCTGCAGAGCAGTTACTTTAAGCCAAAGTAAACCCAGGAAAACAATAGTTAATGCTAATTGTGTCTGTGAGTGTTTTCTGGAAGCGGTTATACTCACCGGTACACATTGTGTGGCGCAATTTAATAGAACAAATTTGTCCGTTTAATTACTGTGCATATTCAGAAATGTTTGATCATGGTGGTTTTATAGACTGAAATAGGGCGACCTTTCTTCATTTATCTTTTTATGCCACTCTCCTTTGATACTGACATCTTTCTCTTTTTTGGAAGTAAATTAATTTTTTTAAAGAGGCATCCTGTTACTTTAGTTTGTGTCTGTCAGTATTATATTAAGCGAAATTAAGGTTGAGGGGAAGAATATCATAGATAAAGCATCATGTAGGTGGGATTGAACAATATAGTTTTCCTTTTTTTGTAGGGTCAGTAATCAAGAAAGCCCTAAAACCAATACACATAACATGTAATGTTTTAACAGCATGTGATCGCAGAGAACCTGCCATTCATAACTAGACTTCTTCAGTCATAAAGGTGACTATACCTGAATATGTAAAATAGAAACAGGAGTGAATGAATGAGTACACTCTGTTTACGTGGGATCAATGGAGATTGATCAGTTTGTGTCCTACAGTTCTCTTATTATTTATTGCCCATTAAGGTCCATATCTTAAAGCGTTATTAATTATTGTTTTCTAGGCTCTGTTACAGGGTGATTTATGGCTGCATTCTAACTTAGCCGCTAGCCATTAGCGTAGCCTTAGCAACTGTGGCAGAAGATAATATCCTGATTTGTGGCAGCAGTTTCTTGTTTAGTTTTTGAAGTCTCTGCTTGAGTGACATTAATCTGCCAGGCCAAAAATTGGTCTATTTCTATCATGTAATGCAGAAAAAAAATGTAAAAGTATGCGTTGCAGGCCTGTGTAAACTCTATACTGCCCAGTAGCTTCAGCTTCATTCCACATAAGATGCTCCAAGTAGAATCATTTTACAAACGCTCACAGCTGCATCTTATTTGTGCAGGTTTATGGAAAACGTACAAAATTATGATTTGAGCTGCACCGATATAGATGAAGCGTAAGTGAAATGTGAACCACTATGGGTCATGGTGACGGGTTGTATATATTTACTGATCCCAAACAATATCTGTTTGCTAAGTAATGTGAGCGGCAGAAGGACAGCTGCAATGTAGAAAGCCTGTAAAACACATGACCGCAGTGACTGATATCCACTCTCACCTGCTGGAAATTCTCGCCAAATTGCTTCAGAAATACGCACAAACCTCTCGGCCTCTTATCATATTTCACTCCTCGGATGATGCTCTGAGCTGGAATGGGAGTGTTTCCACAGTCAATGACCCTCTATGGATTTGTGACCGCAGCAACGACGCATGAACCAATTTTTTTTCCTCCTCCTGACTGGAAACTGACAGTATATTCCCATTAAGTCAGTGCAGCTTGGTGGCCACTGGCAACAGTAAACCAAATCCGCAACGGCATTGTGTGTTCGTACATGTGCAGTAAAAGGACCACCATGACCCAACTGTCAACACCCATATTCCTCAACAGAACCATAAATGCTTTCGCGTGGACGCGTGGAGCATAAAATTTCAAGCGTGGCAATGGCTGGGGTAGGTGGCCGGCTGGGAGGATGTGTACAAGAAGTAGAATTTAAACATACTTTCTCGTTTCAAGTGGCTCAAAGATGTTTAGGATTGAAGATGCAGGAAGGCTTTTCTCAGCTCCATTTCACCTTCTCTTCAAGGTGTCTTCAAGCTACTGCTAAATGTCCTCCCTTAATGAGACACAACTTAGAGGTTGTTGAGGAAACCTTGTTTCAGACAACAAGAGCATTGGCCCCCAGCATGCATTATGGTGTAGATGCACACCGAGTGATCTGAAGCCAGATCTGCGGGGAAGATGGAGGGAGGGATTGTGCATGATCAAAATGTTGCCTCAGTGCCAACTGATAATGCAGTTGGCACTTTCTTTTAAAAGAAAGAAGAAACAAGTCAGATCAAGATGCTAAAAAAATGTAAAAAATAAAAAAATCATTGGCACTGCTGCTGTAGGAATCTCATTGACTTTAGGTTTGTAGTCTACATAGATTGTTTTTTTCTCTTAATTTAGCTTGACATTATTTGATATCTAAGAAAGTGACCTAGTTTTACCTTTAATCTAAATGAAGGCCATCTCCATCAGACTGTTTGTTTCTCAGATTTTTAAATTAAATCAAATCTTTGCACCCGATCTTATTGTGAGTCCACAATGTCATTAGCTATTTGGTGTGACTTTCACTGATTTTGAAATCTAAAATTGCTCCACTCAACAAAGAAAAATGCACAGCTGGAGTCTTCTTTAAGATCTGATTTTTTGTTTTTTGCTCAAATGCTGCAGCTGATATCACAGCGTGTGATTCACGATCTGACTTTGTTCTGCTTCTCTGATTCTTGCGACTGTCTTGTTTAATTTCACAGCAGAATTAATTCAATAATTCATTGTATCAACCCCCTCCTCCTCTCATTTCATCAATTAATTTACTGCTTTGCCCCCATCAGATTCCTCTCTCTTTCCGTGCGACTTGAGACCCGTACACATAAGCAGGAAGAGCTGAATTTGATATTTCCCTGGGGAAATTAATAGTACAGTGCGTTTCTGGACCAGGTACAGATTAAAAACTGGGCCCATTATAAACCCATTAACCTAGTCATTAGCACCAGATCTGGGAAAAGATGGAAAAGGTGGGTGTCTAATTTTAGTGCAGCATTGTGTCATCACTGGTCTTGATTCACATCTGTCGGTGCTGAGAGGAAATGGGGTGTTTTCCCTTGAACACACTGCATTAGTAAGACCCTGCCTTCAGGTCAGATGTCACGACTTCAGTATTTAACGCTCCATATTTTTACTGCATTTATTTTCAATCATCTGAACCCCACAAACCTCAGGCGGGTCTTTCAGGCATGTTTATTTTTTAAAAATCACCAAAATGACAGTGTATCATAGAATGAAACTGTAAAAACAAAGTAAATCCATGGATGTTCATCTTTCCAACGGTCTTTGAACTACTCATTGCAATCAAAATGATCCAAATCTAAACTTAAAATCGGGGAAATTTCAGCAAAATCATTTTATTCTATATGTCACAATTAAAAAAACATGCAAAAACAAAGAATTTGCACCAAATAGATATAGATAGATAGATAGATAGATAGATAGATAGATAGATAGATAGATAGATAGATAGATAGATAGATAGATAGATCGATAGATAGAGACGTCATGAAGGACTCCGCTGTGACAAACAGTCACATGACAAGAATTCAGGGACTTTTTGACGAAACTGGGTTGAGCTGCAGGCTGTGTTTACACATAGCAGATTGTAGACATATGAAAAGTAGAACATGGAAAAGGAGGAATATATCTACAGTATGTAGAGTTACCCTTTTTTCCCAACCACCTGCGGGAACTTGGAATAAAAGTTGTGAATGTTAATTCCAGGTTTTTTTTTTTGTGGGGGGTTTGGTCCAATTTTGGAAAAGAAAACAATTTAACCTTCCATTTTTCTTTGTATGATTTCTGGCATTAAAACATTGTCATACTGCACAAAAGACATTGCTGAGGTATCTCTTCTTCTGGCTGTTTTTGTGCTGCTTCCATAGAGGTACAGGACTTGATATTGCAGGGAAGAGCCCACAGTGAGTTAAAATGTTACAGAAGCAAAAAATAAATACATAAAAACATGTCCAGAAACTGCTGGGGATTCAGAGAGGTAAAAACCCCTTTGTAAATAGATTTTCTTGCCTGACTTGCTTGTGCTTTTTCAAATGACTAAAACAGCCAATACAAAAACTGTCATCCTTCAATAAAGCCAGACATTCTCACGATGCTGACGATAAAGTAGCCTTAAAGCCAAAAAAAGTTTTTATGGGAATATTAAACATGGTCTAACATACTGTCCTCCTCCCTCTGTGTTCTTCTAGAGGCTGGCAACAGAAGCAGAAAAGTTTCAAATGGAACACGAGTGGAGGGAATACACCGAGGTGAGTCAGCGGCTGCTCCGAGTGTGATGTGAGATTAACACTGGCTGCATTACATACAGATCAAGTGGTGCTGCGAACTCCATATGTGCAGCGGGCGGAGGAACATGTTATTCATGATCTAATATGATTGTAATAATTGGATGGCAAATCTCATTACAGTGACAATAGTGCTGTAATGACTTTATAAAAGATGGAATTTCATTTATTCTACATAATGGGCAGAAACAAGTGGGCGTGATGAACAGACACGCATATACTGCTCACTTCCTGAGTTTACCCATTAATCAAACTGTTGAGGAGACATTAGAGGGGAACTTAGAGCAAATTGTGCACTGCTCAAAAAAATAAAGGGAACACCTAAACAACACAGTGTAACTTCAATATAATCACTCTCTGTGAAATCAACCTGTCCAGTCAGGAAGCAACAGATTGTGTATCAGAGAAGCAATTAGCAAGACAACCCCTATAAAGGAGTGGTTCTGCAGGTGGTGACCACAGACCATGTCTCTGTTCTCATCCTTTCTGGCTGATGTTTTGGTCACTTTTGTATTTTGTCAGTGCCCTCACCCCTAGAGGTAGCATGAGGCGTGTCGACAACCCACACAAGATGCTCAGGTAGTGCAGCTCATCCAGGATGGTACATCAATGCCAGCTGTGGCAAGAAGGTTTGCTGTGTCTCTCAGCACAGTGTCCAGAGCCTGGAGGAGATACCAGGAGACAGGCCAGTCCACCAGGAGACTATGAGGGGGCCGTAGGAGGGCAACAGCCCAGCATCAGGACGCTACCTCCTCCTTTGTGCAGGAGGAACAGGAGGAGCTCTGCCAGAGCTGCAGAATGACCTCCAGCAGGCCACTAATATGCATGTTTCTGCTCAAACTGTCAGAAACAGACTCCATGAGGTGGTCTGAGGTCCTGATGTCCACCAGTGGGGCTTGTGCTTACAGCCCAACACCATGTAGGAAGATTGGCATTTACCAGAGAACACCAAGATTGGCAGATTGGCCATTGGCACCCTGTGCTCTTCACGGATGAGAGCAGGTTCACACTGAGCACATGTGACAGACGTGACAGAGACTGGAGATGCCGTGGAGAACGTTCTGCTGCCTGTAACATCCTCCAGTATGACCGGTTTGGCTGTGGTCAATAATGGTGTGGGGAGGCATTTTTTGGAGGGCCCACAGTCCTCCATGTGCCAGCCAGAGGTACCCTGACTGTCATCAGCTACCAGGATGAGATCCTCAGACCCATTGTGAGAGCATATGCTGGTGCAGTGGACCCTGGGTTCCTTCTGATGCGTGACAATGCTCGGCCTCATGTGGCTGAAGTGTGTCAGCAGTTCCTGATGATGAAGGCATTGATGCTATGGACTGGCCTGCCCGTTCCCCAGACCTGAATCCAACTGAGCACGTCTGGGACATCATGTCAGACTGTCCAGGAGTTGACTGATGCTTTAATCCAGGTCTGGGAGGAGATCCCTCAGGAGAACATCCACCGCCTCATCAGGAGCATGTCCAGGCGTTGTAGGGAGGTCCTATGGGCACGTGGAGGCCACACACACTCCTGAGCCTCATTCTGACTGATCTTGAGGAATTTCCACTGAACTTGGATCAGCCTGTAATGTGATTTTCCACTTTTGTTTTGAAAATGATTCCAAATCCAGACCTCCATGACAAGATAAACTTTTTGATTTGCATTGATCATTTTTATGGTTTTTTGTTCTCAACGCATTCCACTATGTTATGAATAAAGATTTTCAACTGGAATATTTCATTCATTGAGATCGAGGATTACTTAGGCTGATTGCTATCCCTGTGAATGCAGCTCCTCGTTCCATAATGAGACTGACAGTGTGGCTCTTTTGGCTATTTTTTATTTTTTTTGCTTTGTTTTAGCTCTGGCCTTTTCATCATAAAATGTAAATTTCCTTCCCTCCCCCTGCAGCCATTTAACAAATGACATCGTGTGTGAATTCAGTGGTGAAGGAACTTCAAAGAAATTCAACTTTGCCATTTATCCTATTAGCTTTTTAAAAAAAAGCGTCTCCTTACTGTTGTTTGCCAAATCTTAATGATTCTTTTCCATAAAACATTGTCCCATTATTCAGCGTCATGCATGCTTTCTTGTGCTAAGAAAAACACTGAAGAAAATGCTTCTCAGGGGAGAGATTGATTTATTCACTATATTGCTCACGGAGTTTGATATTAATTTGGCCCAGGATGCTTGGCTAGCAAATGTAATTAGTTTTTGGTTAATTTGATGGCAATTCCTGCATATCACAAACCAAATTAATATTAATATGTTCCCAGCATGTAAGTAGACATGGGTTTGTACCATCCTTTTTATAAAAAAAAAAGATGATAGATTCAGCAGCAAAATTACATGCCGTATATTTATAACCTTCACAATGTCACTTTAATAACTGATAATGGAGTCGCTAGCTGACATTCTCTGCAGTTTTAGCATACTGGAAACTTGCAAATTAGCTGCTTTTGTTGTGCTGCTGTATGTGATAAAATCCTATTAATCTGTGTTTAAAGCTAGGTTAAATCGCAGCATGTGACAGGAATAATTATATTTATTTCTCTTTTTTTATACCGAACAAAAACAAAAACGCAGCATGGAATATCTTATTACATTTTATCCATTCTGTTTCCATCCATGGATTTGTCGGTCCAACACGCAGCATCTCAACAACAGAATCAATGTCACAGGAAGGATTTTTAACTTTTCTGCGTTCATATTTCTGCTCAGAGAAATTAATTTACTCTTGGAGTCCATTTGTTGGCCAAATTCTAACCGAAGTAACTGGTTTTACATTCTGTAAAATCAAGCCAATTCAAGCTACGTCGTGCCTCGGTGACTGGCTGACAAAAGTCTCTTCCCTGTGCACAGATCTTGCTAGTGCAGATCTTGTTGTTGTCATGCCAGAAAGAGAACATGATGGCCTTGTGTGTGTCGGCCCAGCTGCAGTGTAACATCAGACTGTGCTGCCTTTGCCTCAGGATATTCTCTGACACTCAGCCTAGCCCCGCATGAACCTCTGCGTACCTTCAGCACACACACACATCATACGTGTCTTTCTGTGTGTAACAGCCTTCAGCAATAACAAGGGATTGATTCAGACCGTGCACATAGTCTTTCATTAGGCTGCTGGTCAGTAATATTTGTGAATCACCGTTTGAAGCACTGAGTCGAGCATCCCGACTGTGGTTTGTGTGTTTTTGCGCATGCGTCTGTTCTCTGTCACCTTTGATAACTGGGCCAGTACTACTGGGCACGTCTCCCCGCTGACTTTAAACACTTAAAAGCTGCTGCAGTAACAACCACACACTCGCACGTGGCTCTTCAGCGCATCATAATTACCGTCACCCAATTTAGGGAAACTGCTCTACAGAGATCAATTTGATGACTTTGTGCATGTTTACATCTATATTTTATCCATGAGTTGGCTTAAAATTCGGTACTTTCAGAAGTAAACACTGCAGATCGTTACACGCGATGCTTTTCTGGTCGTGTTAAATTTCATTTGAGTAAACAACAGCTCTATTGAAAGACCAGTGTGAGGGGAAAGCACCTTAACTGGTGGGAGCAGATGATTTTTCAGTGAGTGGATGGCATTCTGAATGAGTCATAAGGGCTTTTACAAAGGTAGAAATGAACTGCAGTCACACCTGGCAGAGATCAGATTGAAATACATCGACAAGATGCAGATCACACACTGATCTGGCGGCACACATCACACCCACCACAAATACCATGAATGTATTTGTTATCCTGTCCTTCCCGTCTCTGCGTCCCCTCTCTCACACGTTCAGTGTTCCTGCACACAGGAGCCTCCCCTGAGGGGTGTGATGGTGTGACCTTAGTGTGATCATCACCTCTTAAGGTGCACATTTTTGCGATAACATAACTTGACAGAAAACATCATGACACAGTCTCCTGTTATCAGCTCTTTTGTGTGTATATTGTTGCATATCAGTGCCCTAACACCCACTCTTGTGCACATATAGTTGTTCTTATCTTCTGGTGTAACTCGCAGGGAGCAGATGCTGCTGTTTGGCATAGTTTACTTAGCTAAATGACCCTTTTTTGAGTTAATTACCAACCCTTCAAGCTAGTATAAGAGCGATAGTGGCGGGAGCAGTTGCTGTCCTGTTGGTGTGCTGCACCAGAGGTGGTAGGCAGGTGGTGGGAGTCAGTGAACCAGCTCTGTGGCTGCAGGGCATCCTTACGTCAGCGCCAGGGCTAGCTCGTTAGCGCCCTGCTAGCCTGTGTACCGACAGCAAGGCCAGCAGTGTAAGAGCAAAACAACACCGCTTACTTCACTGATGCTCAGCGTCAAACACAAACCCCACCGCATTGCAATGAAGCATATCGTTGGCAAATTAAATACAGATTTTCCATTTATGTAGTTTTGTGTTTTGAATTAGATTGAAGACATTTTTTAGCCCAGCTTTATCATTTTTAAGAATTTCACTTTGTTAACCTGTTTACTCGTTTTGGTAACATCTGTTCACCTCCACTTGAAAAAATGCAGAAAATAACAATAAAATAGGACTGCCACTAACAACTATTTTTCTATTGATCAGTTTCGTAGCCACTTTACCGACAGGTTGATTACTCCATTTCATTTTAATTCACTTCAGTATGTCAAACTGTAGGTCAGTGTATAAGGCAGCAAAACACGAAAGTTCACATCTTAAAGTGCAAAACTGAAGGTTTAAACTGGCAACTCCAACCTCATAAATAAAGAACGGAGCTCAGTATTTCATCCAGTAATGTGACTCTAAAGGAAAGTTTCTATCAAACCCTCGAACAGAGTTAAAAAGTTGAATCCGTATATGAAGCAAAGTGCAGCCTGAACACATGTACAAGCACAGAGCAGCTAAAGCAACTTATTTTCTCCTTGTTGCATAAATGTTCTCTGACTTTGGCAGAAGCTTCAAATTCTATGAAAATACAGCCAAAGTCACAGCAACAGCCTTCATCTCTCACTTGTGTGTGGTGAGTTTTTTGGATGATGAAAATCAAGGAGCCTTAATGACCCTAGTGTCTGTCACTATTAAGTACTTGTTTCATTGTCTGATAACAGAAACTGAAAATATGTAAATGAGAACAGCTTTATTGGGAATTCAGCTGCATTAAATAGAAGCTTACATGAGCACAGAGAGCAGAGGAGAAGCAAACAGATGTTTTCCCATGCTAAAAAGTCTCTTTCTCATCAGGTGTTCATGCATTGCGCAGGTTTCGCTGTGGTCTGCCCTCCAAACTCTGCACAGTGTAAAGCTACCTGTTTGTTCTGTGATCATATGAAGTGCTCTCAACTTGTGCCAACGTTGTGTAGAACTGTAGTGCTGACTGCAACTGACCAAGAACTGGAGCCAAAATGGCTGACATCATGATGCCAATGTTACGCAGTGATACAGTCGAAAAAATTAAGTGAGAACAGAACTTTAAAAAAACGTGAAATATTGATGTCGATACACTTCAACCCTATTCAGGACTTTCATGTTGCCATACGTGGAAGGTCTTTCAGGGTCCATTGGTGGAATGGATTTCCTGAACGGAGGCGTGTCTCAATAAGACGCGGAGTAATGAAACAGCCAACCAGCAGGCGGGCATTGAACAGTTGTTAGGGTTAGCTGCTGGCAGGGAATCACTGGTGGACTCATTCCCAAAAATAATAGAATATCATAGGTGATCTAATTGATGAGTGCCCCCTACTGGACACACAGGATGTTGGATTTGATCTCTTAACATCACATGATTAATGTCTTGTTTTTTGCTGACCTCCGGTGACGTAACAAATCAATTTGCTGCAGAGATGTTAAAGTGTGTCAGTGCACCATGATGTCATTGTTGAGTGTAGTTACAGGTGCAACCAATCAGATTTCTGACCAAAACCAACCATGCTTTTCTGTGATGCTCATTTTCTGCCCGATGGTGTCATCATCATCATCATCATCGGTATCAGTCAAAGAAAAAAAAATGAAAAGAGAAATATTACACAGACAGATTAGTTGACAATTTTGTTCTACGTTGCTGCATAAAAACACATATCATATGTTTTACATGTAACTTGAAGTAGTCTTCTTACTTTGCCCAGTGAAAGTGCACATTTAAAAAGCATTGCATTATATGTCAGCACCTGTCTGCACCATAAGACTGGACATATAATCTTTATTCTACTACTGGAGGAGCTTAATGTTCTCTCAATGAGATGAAAAAAATGTGCATATATCGGCATTTGCATTGGCAATCAGCCAAATGGAGTTGCAACAAATCGCAACAGTCCAATATCCTGCACCCCGACTAGTTTTTGGTGAAACACACTTTAATATATCAACCAGAGAGAGCAGTGAGTGTTTTATCCTCCTCAAAT